TATTATATAAATGCCACATTTTGTTCGAAGCATCAGAAATTAATTATTAATCACTCGATCGATTATTAATCGCAACATGAGATATATTTGAATTCAAGAGATGTATATACGAATCATTAAAAAACCAATTATCTTTTATAAATATGTCGCAACAGAATAGTAATTCATAATTTCCGTCTTTTATCGCTTCGATTTCTATTCTAATAAATAAATCGCGCAAAATATTTGATTCGATAAATAGTTACCGCTTTCGTATGTTTAATAAAAATACGTGATTAAATAAAAAAACGCGTTCATTTCGCGAATTTAATCGATAATATATAATTAAGTCAAAAATTCCTGTTCCTGTTCTTCGTATATTGCAAAAATTTATTTATTTATTTATTTAATTACTTTAAAAAGTAATACATTATGTAATAAATTCATAATTTCCGTCTTTTATCGCTTCGATTTCTATTCTAATAAATAAATTGCGCAAAATATTTGTTCCGATAAATAGCTATCGTTTTGGTATATTTAATACAAATATTGAATCGTAAAGTTAATTAATCTTACAAGCTGATAATTGCTAATTGTTCATAAAGTATGATCGAACATGGGGAGATTCCTGCTACTACTTGTCGCCTCGAGTCTTGCCACATGAATGACAACATTGACAACACGACGAACTTGCGTGCGTAACTCAATAACAAACATCAAATATAAACAAACGCCTAAGGCTATGTGCTCTCTAGTCGATTTGTTATCATCCCAAAATAATAATTTTTCTTTTTCTCCCAAATATTTAAACGCGCTCGTTTTGCGAATTTATTTGATAATATATAGGGTGTCAAATTTCAATCGTAACAGGCCGAACATCTCTATATAATTAAATAAAATATCGAGGTCCGGTTTTTTTAGGTTGTATTGTTTCGAGGCGGACAAATTTTGATAAAAAGAATTTGATTTTGCATGGACGTGTAAAAAAAAACGGACATTTCTATTCTAATAAATAAATCGCGCAAAATATTTGATTCGATAAATAGTTACCGCTTTCGTATGTTTAATAAAAATACGTGATTAAATAAAAAAACGCGTTCATTTCGCGAATTTAATCGATAATATATAATTAAGTCAAAAATTCCTGTTCCTGTTCTTCGTATATTGCAAAAATTTATTTATTTATTTATTTAATTACTTTAAAAAGTAATACATTATGTAATAAATTCATAATTTCCGTCTTTTATCGCTTCGATTTCTATTCTAATAAATAAATCGCGCAAAATATTTGATTCGATAAATAGTTACCGCTTTCGTATGTTTAATAAAAATACGTGATTAAATAAAAAAACGCGTTCATTTCGCGAATTTAATCGATAATATATAATTAAGTCAAAAATTCCTGTTCCTGTTCTTCGTATATTGCAAAAATTTATTTATTTATTTATTTAATTACTTTAAAAAGTAATACATTATGTAATAAATTCATAATTTCCGTCTTTTATCGCTTCGATTTCTATTCTAATAAATAAATCGCGCAAAATATTTGATTCGATAAATAGTTACCGCTTTCGTATGTTTAATAAAAATACGTGATTAAATAAAAAAACGCGTTCATTTCGCGAATTTAATCGATAATATATAATTAAGTCAAAAATTCCTGTTCCTGTTCTTCGTATATTGCAAAAATTTATTTATTTATTTATTTAATTACTTTAAAAAGTAATACATTATGTAATAAATTCATAATTTCCGTCTTTTATCGCTTCGATTTCTATTCTAATAAATAAATCGCGCAAAATATTTGATTCGATAAATAGTTACCGCTTTCGTATGTTTAATAAAAATACGTGATTAAATAAAAAAACGCGTTCATTTCGCGAATTTAATCGATAATATATAATTAAGTCAAAAATTCCTGTTCCTGTTCTTCGTATATTGCAAAAATTTATTTATTTATTTATTTAATTACTTTAAAAAGTAATACATTATGTAATAAATTCATAATTTCCGTCTTTTATCGCTTCGATTTCTATTCTAATAAATAAATTGCGCAAAATATTTGTTCCGATAAATAGCTATCGTTTTGGTATATTTAATACAAATATTGAATCGTAAAGTTAATTAATCTTACAAGCTGATAATTGCTAATTGTTCATAAAGTATGATCGAACATTGGGAGATTCCTGCTACTACTTGTCGCCTCGAGTCTTGCCACATGAATGACAACATTGACAACACGACGAACTTGCGTGCGTAACTCAATAACAAACATCAAATATAAACAAACGCCTAAGGCTATGTGCTCTCTAGTCGATTTGTTATCATCCCAAAATAATAATTTTTCTTTTTCTCCCAAATATTTAAACGCGCTCGTTTTGCGAATTTATTTGATAATATATAGGGTGTCAAATTTCAATCGTAACAGGCCGAACATCTCTATATAATTAAATAAAATATCGAGGTCCGGTTTTTTTAGGTTGTATTGTTTCGAGGCGGACAAATTTTGATAAAAAGAATTTGATTTTGCATGGACGTGTAAAAAAAACGGACCTCGATATTTCATTTAGTTATCGAGATATTCGGTCTGTTACGTTTGAAATTTAGCACCCTATATAATTTAACCAAAAATCGCTCTTCCTGTTCTTCATATATACTACAAAAATTAATTAATTAAAAAAGAGTAATTTATGTAATAATAATATGTATAAAAAAACATTTAAAAAAATTCAATTTCTTCTTTTCTGTCGAGAAAATTAAATATCATAAAACAAAAAAAAAATTAAATAAAATAATTTATTAAAAATATATATAATAAGTAAGTAAAAAAGTGATTTAAAAAATCTATGCTACCTGCGATCTGAAGTCAATCGTGCTGAACGATCGCGATGAAACGTTTATACCGGCAATGATGTGATTCAGAAACAAACTGTATTAATCGCGACTACAAAAATCATAGCTTGATGGTCGGCGCCTCGTAACCTTCATATCGCTTTCTATCTTTTCTGGGTGAAAATTCGCCTGTAGAATCTCTTACTTTAAGCCATCGTCGAGAATGAATCAATGTTTGTCGTTGGCCAATCGATCTCGATCATTCATCAAAAGTTGTCTCGCTTCTCAAACCATCTCGTTATGCAAGCTTTATTTCCTTGATTTTGGATATATTTGAATGTAAATCTCAATATATATCTGAATATATTCAAGTATATATCTCTAAAAAAAAATTGATCACTCAGATCGAATCGATGAGTAATTTGAAATAAATAGTGCATTATCCGGTGCTCAGAAAATGGAACTATGCAATCCTGTGAAGCTGCGCTTACTCTAGAAACTTTAGTTCATCCGCCAAAAAGTACTTGCTTTCGTTATAGAATATACAATACTCGAGACGAAGGGTTGGTTGGCTCGTGATGGAACTATTCTAGGACTATCAAGTTCGCTTTGCGAGCATCTCCTTGAATCAAAAATTCCAAGTGACTTTCGAAATTAGAGCTGTCGGCTTTCGATAAATCTGCAAATTGAGTTTCAAAAATTCGCGAACCTCGCAAACCTTTTGGCCACTTCCATTCGGATCACCTCCCCTTTGTTTCCCGATCGGGGCGATTAATCTTCGTCTGAGGAATCGTCCCGACGATGACACCGATAAGCGATAATAGATGAGGCGCGCGATTGATACGAGCGGTCGCGGGGCGGGCGGGTTCTGAAATGAAAAATTTTGCCAATTGCAGAGTGGGCTGCAGGAGGGCGCAGCAGCACCAAGTGACGACCTCCGACCTCGCCCTCTCCAACGATGACGAGTGCGACAATCAGGTACTGCGGGCGTATTCTTTACGAACTATAGCGCTGCGGTGATCCTTAATTAAAGATTAAAGCGAAAATCGAGCGAATCAAAAATTTGGAAATAAAATAAAATATGGTGCAAAGAATGGAAATAATTTTAAATAATTAAAAAGAAACTTTTTGAAATTTCGATAGTGTTAAATGGATTTTTTTTTTTTTAAAGTTAACATAACATCGATTTTTTCACGCAATTTTGTTTAATTATGTAATTTTAATTTTAATTTTATTTCTATACAAAAATAGAAATTATAAATTAAAAATCCTAAAACGCGCCTTATAAAATTACGTTGGGAGCACCGTATAGATAAAAGGGTTCGAAGGGATACGCCTAGAAAGACGGAAATCGCGATTTTTTTGTCCCCGGCGAAAAATCATATTGTAGAAAGAAAAAAAAAGAAGCTTTCTCGCAATCAAAAGATATAAGAGAGAAACATGCTCGTCCTTTTTTCCAGGATTACGATGACGAGATCGAGAACGGACGAGGTCGCAGGCATAGCTCCCCGGGCGGATCGCGAGGTAATCCCAGGGATTACGGCCATCGCCTGCATCCGGACAATTTGGTGAGTCCACTAGCACAAACTCGATCATCGAACGTGACACTTCGAAACATCCCCTGTATGTTCCCTGTTGCCATTAAAAAATTCCGATCGTGCACTGGAAATTAAGAGAGCTTTGCTCTAACGTCACAGCTCCACTCTTTAAATATATAATTGTGTGTTTAAATAAATACAAATTGTTCCAAAAAAATTAAAATTTAATACATGAAAATTTGATTTTGAAAAAGTGAAATGTAAGTATAAGAGATAAATTTATTTAAATCTCTTTTTCACTACTCTTTACGTTTTACATTATATTAAAAGTATATATTAGGATTTATTTAACGCTTTGATATTTGATATTAAAATATTAAAATTATTAAAAAATTATTAAAAATTTATTTCTATTGTATAATTATATTCTCATAACTGCACATTTTTAATAATATAATTCAAAGGTTTCTATTTTATGTGCGTTTTTTAGCCTCTAATGGTTCATTTGAAATCTATTCGATTGCCATTTTATTCCTCAAAATGATCGGAATATTTTTAGTGGCTGAAGATTTTCATTCCAAGATAGATTTATCGTAATACAATAGTCTTATCATAAAAAACGAAATAGCTCATCCCCCCTTAAAACGTGTGTATACTATTATTTTAGAAGATAGAAGATTTTCTCTTATAGAATTACATAAATAAGCGATCACATAGCGATGATTTCTCAGGGAGAAAAAGTCGAGAACAATCTTATAATTTAAATTGTGCCCTACTTACGTCCACTTGTATTTAATTACACCTTGCAAATTGATCCGGTTTGCATAAATAATTATATAAACATAAATTAGTGTTTCAAAAATTCTGTATAAATATTAGATATAAAACATCCTACAAGTTTTATACATATACAAGTTTTGTGCAATGAATATTCAAATTTTGCAATAAATATGCAATGAGTATATCAGTTAATAAATATAAAAGCCAATTATTATAACAATAAAAATAAAAAAAGCTCTAATAAATAATATACAACACAAAGAAAAAATGAGCTGATAAGAACCTAGCGCAGAAAACAGAGCACGAATAAAGAAAATGGAATTTTCATAAGAAATCTTTTAATTAAAGGATTTTCTTCAGATTCTGTTTTTTGTTTATTCGCGCTATCTCTTTTCTACGCTAGCCTCTTATTAGTCCGCTTTTCCTTTGTGTTGTATGCTGATCATTATATTAAGTAATTAATTTAATTATTAAGCAATTTCTAGAAATACAATATCTTTTGCTTGTTTCAAGAGCTTCAAGTTTCGAAAAAGAGATTTATATATATGTATTATTTTTTTATATCAATGTTTTTTAGTTAACTCGGCTAATTCAATATGTAGTTTAATTTCTGTAATTTTCGCCGTTGAGTGAATAGATAAACGAAAATCCGGCACACGTGCGAAATCGGATTTCCACCGAGCGGCCTCATTTAAATTCGCATGCAACGCACTCGCGCAACATCCTGCAATACGGCGTTAATTTAAGCGCTTAATTTATGCACGTCGGCTCGAGTACAATTATTTACGCGCGATGTATACAGGGTACATTATAATATTTAAAGAATGGATTTTTTGAGACTTAAATTAAAGGCAACTTCTTTTCTCAGAGAGAATGTCAAAATGAATACAAGCTTCTCCCTAACTTGGAGCTTTAAGGATCATAAATAATAATACTTTACTCCTCTTACTTGACTTTATAAATGCACCTTAATAGATATTTATATTATAAGACTGTAAAAAATTGCATTTAATCAAATTTTTGCTATCGCGAAATTGACTTTAAATTTATCAAATAATTATAAACTTATTTCTGTATCTTTCACATGTATATATTTTTTATTTTCACGTATATCCAATATATTTTTCGTTATTTCGCGGTATCTGATTGTTGAAAAACAGAACCGCTTTCTGTATTTTACGCTGACGTGTTCGCGTTCTAATTTTCCGTAATCGCCTATCATGTATTTTTATTTATAGATTATTTATTTTACTTTTTTTATAATCTTCACATTTTGTTCTTATTTAAACAATCTATTTAAATATCATGAAAGTTATAAAGAGAGATACTCGTGTTCGTATTTGTTTTGTGTCAACTGATGCAGCCCTGATGACAATCCCTAAGAGACATAATCCCTGAGAGACAATCGCATGATCGCGCCAATATCGACGTAATGTCGTTATAGAAGCGTAGGTTCAAAGTGGAGTAGATTAATACGTATATCCAATATATTTTTCGTTATTTCGCGGTATCTGATCGTTGAAAAACAGAACCGCTTTCTGTATTTTACGCTGACGTGTTCGCGTTCTAATTTTCCGTAATCGCCTATCATGTATTTTTATTTATAGATTATTTATTTTACTTTTGTTATAATCTTCACATTTTGTTCTTATTTAAACAATCTATTTAAATATCATGAAAGTTATAAAGAGAGATACTCGTGTTCGTATTTGTTTTGTGTCAACTGATGCAGCTGCAAATTTTCCGCAATAAATCCCTGAGAGACAATCGCATGATCGCGCCAATATCGACGTAATGTCGTTATAGAAGCGTAGGTTCAAAGTGGAGTAGATTAATTAACTCGCCTAATCGCGGTATATAACGATCATTATAGATGATTATAGTAATCCATAGAACGCAATTTGAGTTTGTCACGCAAGATTTATCTCGCGGTTATTCCTTCGCGTTTTATTTTGACGATTTAAATATTGGATTCTACGACAATGACCATTGTTCAACCTGATGACAATGAGGGTAAAAAGGTAAGAGTTATCTTTCATATGGAAGCAGATCGTATTGTTTCAAAAAATTTTATATAAAAAATTAAAAACCGAAAAAAAAACAAAAATGACAAAAATATCTCATAAAAATTTTAAAGTCCTCAAACATCACTTTTCAAAAGCCAATCTCAAACGCCACCCTCAGATCTGGCGAATCTCATTTTACCCAATTTTCTTTTTTCCACACTTGACTATTTTCAATCGACTTTATAAAGCTTGAAAAAAATTATTATGTTTTAAAACTCCTCAAGAAATGCAAAAGAAATGTCATGAAAGATTCAGTTTATCTTATAAAGATCGGGATCCATCAGACCTCAGTGTGATGTTCCAAGGCTAATAACACGCAAGACGGGATCGTGGATAGAATTATAGCAAATTCGCGATGTATAAGGAGGTTCGATCATTCAGGTAGAAGAACGCGGGATAATCGGAACAGATGCATTGGTACAAAACAGACCAATGAAAGATTAGCTCGGTCAGCCACAGTATTATCAACGTCACGTGAGATAGCTTCACCTGAAAAGTGCCAATAATCGTTTTGTTCTCTCTGGAAGAATAACGTCTTCTACCGACTATTACCTCGTCTTCCCTTGGAAAAAAAATACGGATTGCCTTCTCGAAGGCCGGTGCGTATAACGCGATAATAAGGAAACCGCGACTCTCTTTATGAAGGGCTATAACTACATCTGTTCCGCTGAAATTCTCCAGCAGAAACGCGGTAGAAAGAAAATGCCGATTATTGGAATTTCCTTTTCAAATTTCAAGAAATTTGCAGCTTAACCAATCTGCGTAAATTTTGCAGATAATATACGTATTAATTGTCTCTAGATAATTAATAACACTCACGGATTTAATTGCCAATATTAATATCACACACTTGTCAATATTAATTTTAGATCATATATTGATAATTCTAATTTTCATTAATTTTAATTTCGGTTAATATACTTATTTATATAATAATTAATCTTAATCTGCTCGTCGTATTTTTAACATATATAATAAAAATATTATTCTTAAAACAATAAAAATATCAACGCATATAAATTTTTATATTTATTCCATATACTTGTCAAGTTATTCTATAATAATCAGGAAAAGTTTAATTATCATTTTAAATTTCTTATCAAACATATACTATCTCTTAATACATAATAATAAATATCTCTTTAGAAACTCGTGTGCGATCGTGGTGTAGAGAGTTGTGTGTCTGCTCTCTGTGCCAAAAGGCTCGGATTCGAAGTTCAAATCCAGCCAGAAACATTGAATATATTTGATCGCCACCTCTCGGAAAACAATGGCAAGCCACTGAGAGTATGATTCTTGTCAAGAGAATCTCTCTAATCTGGGCCGTACGGAACCGGTGTTAACCGGCTGTAGACCCCATATATCTGCGGAAAACTCTAAAAGGCGCACACCGTAGATATATGTAAGTTAAAAAAAAATTGATACAATGGAAGGAACAACGCAACAAGAAGAAAGAATTGGAAAAGGCTATAAACAAACCTGCTCTTTGAAATAGTTGATAGTATAATTAGATTGCCTTAGAATATTCTATGTTCTGTGTCCGAACATTTCTAAGGCAGCATCTAATTATTCTATCAACTTTCAAAGGTAGATTTGTTTGTAGAATCTTTCAACTCTTTCTTTTTGTTGCGTTTTTCCTTCCATTGTATAAATTTTTTTAAAACTTCTCGGTTACAGTATCGTGCAGAGAGAAAGAGAGAGAGAGAGAGAAAAAGTGCAGGCACGTTGCACGCGAGAAGTAAAGATGATATGCAATTGAGATAATCGAGAGAATAGCTTGAAGTACGAGATGGACGATCGTGTTTGAAAAGAATCAGAAACCGATGCCGAGGTCGGCTCGATATAATTAAGATAATAGTGACGAGTTTCGTAGCCGTAATGCCGTACTCGAGGTCGTTATCCCGATTGGATGCCATCTTCGAGGATTTATATTTGCCGATATCTATATTTATTCGAACGTAGTCCATAATAACTGCCGGTCTATAATAACGAAGATATAACAGAAGATATAAATTTAGGAATTTTTTTTACATTATTAAAGTCCTATATATATATATTTATTTTAAGAAGATTTAAAAAATCTCTCGAGGAATTTAAAGACTTCAACATAGAACGAGCAACCGAGCAAAAACTACCTCAAAGGGTTAATCAACGTACCGGAGAGAAATTATAAATCGTTATCGG